GAGCAGGGGATGGATTATGAGCTGGAGATTCCGAACGTGTACGACCTCTTTGATTGCTTCGGCTCTGACTTCTTCGGCTAGATGATTTTTGGTCTAGTACCTGTTCAACCACATCAATGGAGGGTGCAGGTGAAACAATTCCTCTGCCTCGTCTACGATTAGAAATGTTCATATTACGAATCCTATCAAAAGAGTCTTCAGGTTTTTCCCAAAAGTGAGAGCGAAACTCCTCAAAATATTTAGCACCTATTCGACTCCTTCAAGCTGTTCGACTTACATTCATATACTCACACATCGCCTAACCAATAGGGTAAAATATAAAGGGCCAAAGGTTCTTTACATGAAATTTAGGATTTGCTTGCTCTTAAGTATTGTCAATTATTACTTACATTATAATCCCGAACAAGGTTCCTGAATTTTTCTTTACAATGATGTCCCTGGAAGTTTGTACCCTACCCTTCATTAATTCTCGTCACAATACTTTCCCAAAATATGTTTCAGTTCATTCCTAAGTCATGGTATTCTTCATTCCTATTTCTACGCTCGTCAATAAGAATACGGGTTTGTGCATCGGACCAGTCAGCCATTTTTTTTTAGAAGACAAGTGATTCGTTTTAACCATGAACATGCAGATAAGGTGTTTTTATAGATATTTATTTGCACATCAACCACACTTCAACCTGACATCATCCCTACATTAATTGCACATCTGCTCATGAATGAAAATTACTATGCTTTTTATAATAAAATTTTCAACCATACATGTGGCATTTATGTGAATATCTTGAACTACACTTCAACCACACTATAACCCGACTTTGACCCAACTTTGATTCCTGCGCCTTCGATAAGGTCATACTCGATATAGATAAACATATCTATATCACTCAATCATCCTCGCGATCCACAGGAATGATTAACATACCCCTATCATACGAAAATATTGCTTACTAAATATAGACATATTCCGAGAGATATTCATTGTAAATTTTTTGAAAAAGCAATCATTTATAGTAGGTAAGTAATTGTCGTTAGTAATGTACTGCATATAATAATGAAACAGATTTAAAATATATCTTGACCTTGGTCAAGAAAAGTTCTTTATTATTTGACTCTATTACAAAAATTAACTGGCCAGTTAATTACAATGTTTTGATACATTTATTATTCTCATAACTCCCGAAACAAGACTGGCGTTTTCAGTTTATTGTGACTATCTGTGGGTGGTCTGGGGTGGGTATGACGCGTCAGGCAAAGTGATAGGTTTAACTGGTTGTGATAGATTTATTCGTCTAACATTATTTTGTGTTACATTGAGAGTATGAAACGATCTAGGAGCAATCAAGAACGTTTCTGGTTAAGGAATAACACCATTGTACTGCCTTTCGCCTGGATAAAAGTTTTCGCTTCTATTTGAGGATCCAATAAGTTTCTTAGGCGGTGCTTCGAGTATAATTGCTCGACAATTAGGACAAATATCGTACGTAAAAAAATATCATACGTATAGGTAATATCATGAATTATGTATCTCATTATGCATTTGAAATGGAAGACGTGGCCACATGCAAACTTTATATATGCTTGTGCCTAATTAACTTCGTCTAAACAGATAGTACAGTTTTCAGGCTCTGGAGGCTCTGAAAGATCTGAAGACTCTGAATGCTCTATTTCGCTAGTGAAAAATAGAGAAGCTTGTGTGAGTAACAATCATAGGGTTTTTGTATAGTCTCCATTAGAAGAACAAATTGCCAAGTTTTTTTTTCATACCACTTAATTACTATGGTGGGATTTACATCTGACTTGCAGTAACGAATTTGGAAAGCGAATATCTCGTCAACCAATAACACAAGTTTGATGAGTATTGAATGTCTGGATTCGCCGGTTCTGAGCTTCTATTATCTCAAATTTCGTGAAATTACGATCACTGAATGCGTAGTTATTCAGAAAATCGTAAAGCCAATTATTTTAGACATAACCACGAAAGAATTTCGGAGAGACCACATTGCCAAAGTGGCGTGTGAAATGTTGGTGATCTGGCAACCTACAAAATACTAGTTTCCGGTTCTGGGAACCTAAAGGAGGTGAGAAATTAGTAGGTTGTTATGTAAGAATGCATAGCTACTCAGTGAATCCCAAAATGTATTATTAGTACTATATAAGGATTGAAACATCAACCGTCTACGAAACGTGATCCAGATGTATTAGAAACCCCAAATCAATTCGACCAGATGCAGGGCACCGAGAGCTTCAAAACAAGCCAGATTTTGAAGAATTTGGATCACAAGAACCCAAAATAGTCTTTACAGTTGGGAAAATTTACTGTGTCACATCATGGGTTAGAAGTTCATTGTATATCGATTTTGCGTAATGCTAATACTGCGGAACCATCGCTTCCAGATGCTATGATCACCACAAAACATGGAACAAATATGGCAACTCTAATGTCGCTGATCTCGATTTGACTGAAAAAAAAATAAAACTATATGATAATTCAGTCTACAATCCACTTAATAATTCTCCTAGGCGGATACCGGAAATATAATAGGACTCATCATTGGCGAGACTTTCCTTTCATATCTTCCATCATGATAATAATAACCTTCACCACATCCACTGTATCCACCGTATTCATTATATTCATCATCCAAATCATCTAGCATTTCTTCTTCAAAATTATTGTCATGACTACAGTCACCATCATCATCTACCCTATCTGATTGCGAAGTAACCTCTTCATTTGTTTCTTTCACTGACTGAGGTATGGGATCATTATCAAAATATACATCTTCATAATCCTCAGCTGAAATTAAGGGTTTCGTTTGCATCTCCGATGCTTCTTCAGAATCGGTAATAGAGTTATCTTGTTTCTCAGAATCATCAGCAAATTCTATATTAGGCTTTTTGGTAAAGTGATCTATAATCATTTGAATCTGAGAATTAGTGAATTTTGATATAGTATCGGCACTATACGTTTTGATATAATAAATCTTATCCTCACCTATTTTATTGAATAAATTATCGATTCTTAAAGCTCTTTGTGTCTGCTTATATAAGGTTTTACGCTTAGTATTTGGGAGATGTTTAACAATATAATTATATACTTGTCCCTTCGCCTTTTTCTCCCCAACTTTATTGTTGACCATATATTCCTTATACATGTTTTTGAATTCTCTTGCATAGAAACACCAACGTAATGTTTCTTCTCTATTAGCTTTAATTGCGTCTTTTTCAGCTTCACATGCATAATGGTAAAGACTGATAATATCCTGTTTTAGCTGATCAGTACTCGCTGAAATTTCAGTCACATGTGAAGCACTTTTCGGCTGTTTTTCATCCTCTTCTATGGATGAAATCATTTCTTGAATCAGCACCTGTTCACTTTTTTGCTGGAAAACCTCTTCTTTCATATCTGTCTGTTTACGCAATTGTTTCTTCTCTTTATTGCGTTGCCTTATCCCATCACTAACGCTTTTCTTGTATCCCTCATCTAAGAAAATATCTTCTGCATTAGGATTATACTGCTCAGGCTGAACTATAACAGATTCAGGTTTATTGGTATGTGATACATCTGATATTGGTGTTTGATTAAGTAAACAATCACTTATTTTTTCTGATACCTTCTGTTCACTCACGCTTGAAATGATACTAGAGATACCAGGCAGGTCATTTTGCATCTGCCTGTAATCCTGCTCTAATTTTCCAATTCTATCTCTAAACTCAATATTTTCAGACTCAAGTTTAGAGATAGCTAACTTATCTTTCTTTAGCTCTACTATTTCAGCATTAAGTTTTTCAATCTTGGTTGTAAATTCTGCTATAGTATTATGAAACTCATTGGTTATAGCCTCAAACATCCGTTTCATCTCTAACTTTTCACTCTCAATCTCGCTAATCTTAGCTAATAGTCTAGCATTTTCTTGCCTATACGAATCAAGCTCGGATTCCATTTTTGTAAATATTTCTTTGCACTGTATATGGATAAGCATTCAAAATAAAAAAAATCTCATGTAATTTTGGGCGACCTAAGGTCGTTGAAATTTTGCCAAGAAAATCTCAAAGAAAATAATAAACAGATAGACGCTGTGTATAGATTAGCAAAATCTTTTGAGCTGGTGATCACTGCTACAGTTTAATTAGATCAGTAGAGTTCCACCATCCTGGGGCTAATATTCTTTCACCAGCTCTATGTCGCTGGCGCATCTGATTATCTCGCATACTTAGATCAGCTAGTATTCTATCAAAATAATTTCTCAGTATTTGTCTGTTTATAGCTATAATGGAGTGATAAGCACCAGAGTTGACTGTCATAGATATATTGGAATTAGGTTATCGGAATGCCTGGTGAAACTGAGTTCTAATAATATGAGGTTGTCTTGATAATATCTCTACTACTCGCTCTATCTCAGCTTGAATATCATTCAGATCCCGATAATTCTCGATATAGGTATTTGGATTTAGCTGATCTATGGCTTTTTTACTAATATTATCACACCCTTCCAGATTAAAATATTTTAAATTAAGACATGATCTAGCAATTTCTTCGATTATTATATCAGTAATTTTACAACAGGTAATATCAAAATGCTGAAGCTTTGGAGAGGAACGAATAATACCACAAATTGAATGTTCAGTAATCTTTGTGCGATAGGCAATATTTAAATATTCTAATTTATGGCATGACTTTACGATTCTTCATAGATCTCTATCATCTACTTCTCGAGCACGAAAACTTCTAAAGCCACTGACTGATTATCACACAGATTGAGATACTTCAGATTCGGATATAAACCTGCTATCAGTTCTAATGCTCTATTACTAAATCCCATGCTATTTATGAACTCAAATGGGTTATATTTGGGCATGAATGTATAATGCTTATGATTTTTTTATCTGAAAGTGAATGGTAGTATGATATTTC